TTGAACTGACTATATCTTACATAAGAACATTTTCAAGAGAAACATACATACTGGAAAGAAGAGGGGATACGATATTTGCATTAAATAATCAACATGGCTTCAAAATTAGATTAATTACATTAAATAGACTGAAAATCTCTTAAAATCAGGACATCCGTGATAGAGTCAAGACGGATGTAAGACCTGACACAGTCTCACAGTATTTGGAGCAGGTTTTGGTAAGACTGTCCTTGAAAGCCCAATGGAATGCTCCAGAAAACACGGACAAGAGAACCTTCTAGAACCTTCTCATCTTCTAGAACCTTCTCATGCCAGAGCTTGCTATGCTCTGTAGAGAAACTGGGACAGAAGCAGATGTGGAGATGTAGGAGTGGTCCCTCAAGGCAACACCGCTGGAAACCCCAAAGAACTGGAAACACCCCAAATGCTCCCGATCCAGAGATGGAGCAAAGCCGTGCTGTCCACCCATGTGGAATATACGCCCCCAGGACAGAACTGACCTCACGTGTCCACAGGGACTGATTTTAAACATTTAATATGGAGAGTTGTGGGTTCCAAAACACAAGTTGAAGTCTTGAGCCCTAGTACATGTGAATATGACCTTATTTGGAAACAGGGTCTTTGCAGAGGTGATGAAGGGAAGGATCTGAGATGAGTTCATCCTGGATCAGGGTGGTCCTGAGTCCAATGAGGGGTGTCCTTGTAAGACACAGAAGAGGACACACAGATGCAGAGCAGAAGCCACGTGAAGATGGAGGCAGAGATGGGAGGGACGTGACCACAAGCCCAGGGACGTCTGGAGCCCCAGAAGCTGGAAGACGCAAGAAGGGCCCTGCCTTAGAACCTCAGGAGGGAGCATGGCCCTTCCCCGCCTGGATCTCTGTGGTCCTGCCCCGCCTGGATCTCAGACATCTGGTCTCCCTAGCTGGGCGAAGAGAAATCTCCGTGGTTTTAGTCATTGGGTTTGTGGTCATTTTTCACAGCTGCCCCCAAGTAAGTAACTACTAAACAAACAAACAAACAAAAAAGCAAATCACAGATCTTATTCTACTTACCAAAGGATCAAAGAATGCAAATTTAAATTTCAGAGACACACATGCGTGAGACATTTATAACGAGAAGCAAGAAAACCGTTGATTCTACGGGTGGGTTAGGGGTTAGTGTTTGCACGTGCATTTGGGGGGAAGCGTGGGCCCATCCACGTGGTGTGACAAGGTGTGCACTCACTTATCACCGACTTCTAAGTGTTTCATGCATTTTGCTGTCTTCACGGTTTGCAGTACTTTTAATAAAACCGATTTGCCACAGAAACGAACGTCAAAACTTCGTAAAACCATTAGGAATAAATGCAATAGGAAAGGTATGGGCATTTACTGAGAATTAATAATAGGACAGCCCTGAAAAGCATTAGGATTCTGGTCACCAATTCCAACATGTGGGGTGACCCCCTCCCACACACACCACCAAGCAATTCCCAGACACCATCAAGGTACCCTATAATCCAACCCAGTTCTGACCTATATTCTTGGCCACGGTGTCAGATCTCCCAAGGCTTAGCCCTACAAGACTGCCCTTCACCCCCTAGGTCAGATGGCAGTCACAAATCCAGGTTGTCACCCATAGTTCTGACCTACCAGCTACAGATTGGAGGTTTCCAGGACCTCCTCCTCCTCCTGGGGTTCTATGAATCCGCTACAGCGACTCACAGAGCCCAAGGAAACACGTCACTCACTACATCAGAGGTTTACTATAAAGGGTTGTAGTTCAGGAACAGCCAGAAAAAGTGTGCATGGGGCCACCTGTGGGGAAGGGCGTGCACCTTCCATGGCCTCGCCAGGGACACCTTGCACCCCAAAACTGCACGTGTTTACTAACCCAGAAGCTCTTTGAACCCTGCCCTTTCCATTTTCTAGAGAGGGAGGCTTTATTGCAGAGGCGTGATGGATTAAATCATCCGTCACTAGGGACCGATACAACCTCCAGCCCCTCTAGTCTCCCTGGAGGTCAGAAGGTGCAGCGGAAACTTCCCAGCTTCTAAACACGGAGTTGGCTCCCCTGGCCACCAGCCCCAGGCTCCTGGACTTTCCAAAAGTCCCCTCGTTCACATGCTGTCCTCACCAGAAATTCCAAGGATTTTAGGACAGAAACAGGACAAAGACCAAACAGGTGCGTTTATCACAAGTCACAAAATCGCCCACACCCAGAAAGACACAAGTGAAAGGAAAGACAAATGATTCTCAGACAAAAAAATATCACTCTGTGAAATCTCAAGGTTCCCGCCCAAATTAACTTAGAAATCCCTGCGGGTTTTGTCCTGATGGTTATCCTCTCCTTTCCCGTTCTAGTTTATGTTATTGTATCCTACTCTGTTCTAGCCTATCCTGTCCTATTTTATTCTATTCTGTCTCATCCTATCCTGGCTTGGCTTATCCCATCCCACCATTATTCTATTCTATTCTTTCTTATTCTATCTTATCCTACCCTATCCTCTTCTGTCCTCTCCTATCCTATCCTGTATTATTTTATTCTGTCTATCCTATCCTATCCTAACCTAACCTACCTTACCCTATCCCATCCCATCATTATTCKATTCCATTTTTTCTTATTCTATCTTATGCTACACCATCCTGTTCTGTCCTCTCCTATCCTATCCTGTATTATTTTATTCTGTCTATCCTACCCTATCCTAACCTACCTTATCCTATTCTATCCCATCCCTTCATTATTCTATTCTATTTTTTCTTATTCTGTCTTTTCCTACCTTATCCTGTTCTGTCCTATCCTATCTCATGGTATCCTATCCTATCCTATATTATTTTACTTTGTCTATGCTATGCTATCCTATCCTATCTTATCCCATCATTATTCTATTCGATTCTTTCTTATTCTATCTTATCGTCTCCCATCCTGTTCTGTCCTGTCCTATCCTATCCCATCCCACCATTATTATATTCGATTCTTTCTGATTCTATCTTATCCTACCCTATCCTGTTCTGTCCTATCCTATCCTATCCTGTATTATTTTATTCTGTCTATGCTATCCTATCCTATCCTATCCCATCCCATCCCACCATTATTATATTTGATTCTTTCTTATTCTATCTTATCCTACCCTATCCTGTTCTGTCCCATCCCATCCCATCCCATCCCATCCCATCCCATCCCATCCCAACCCATCGTGTCTTATTCTATCTGCTTCTCCTCTACCCTATTGCCCTCTATCCCACCCCACTTCTCTCCATTGTTTTCTACTGGAGAAACCTGGCAGGAGCGTAAACGTAGGAACAGAGAAACGGGGTGAAGAAACCCATGCACTCCCATCATCAACTGTGTTTTCTTCAACTTGCAAAGCATCGAGAAGCTGACCTGGGAAAAACAATCAGGGCTAAGAGAGAAGGAAGCTAAGAAAACGAAGCTACGGTGGGGGGTGGGGGGCACTGCCCGAGCACAAGGGTGACTTCAGAACACACGGGAACACGAGGGCATTTAGAAAAGGACTGTCCGTCCCCTCCAGGATCAGTGGAGAAGGGTGGGCTTTCGGACATCGGTCCCTGCAAACACCACCAGGAAACCCGGGAAGGCTCAACAGCACGACAAAACCTAACTGTACCTCCGGAGACAACGGACGACCCATTTTTAATGCCTTTGACTCGATTTTGGCTTAAAGTGCCCCATCGAGGACCGCGAGTGACAAGAAAGTTGCGGTGGGGGAGACGGGCAACATGACATACGGGGTTCGTGATCCGTAATTATATGGAACGTTCTCTGTCATTTTGTTTTTTGTTTTATTCCTGAGCCAGCAGCTCCCCGTGGGGGGAAAAGTGGGAAAAAGGACGTGAACAAAGAGTTCATTCAAAAACTCACGTGCATAAAGAAAATTTGGATTTTTAAGGGGAGCTGTAGAGCGGAGCTGTGACACAGGAAAAGGATCCCGGGGTCATACAGGAGGTAATTACACACAGCAGCGGCCAGACGCTGGGTCCCCAGTGCCCACAGTCATTCCCGTGTGCCAGAATCTGGGTTCCGGTGCTGGCCCCAAAACACTAGTGCATAAAGAACCCAGAGGTGGGGAATTCACAGCCATGACTGTCACTGAAGGCACGTGCCCTGCCCTCCATGGCCCTGGAGCTCGTCACTTCTAAAGTTTGCAACCCCGTCGCGGGGAGGAAACGAACACCGTCCCCTCACCAAGACCCTGGAAGCCGGAGAGGATGTGCCCGAGCCCCACGGCTGGGCCAGCAACAGCCACGGAAACAGGACGGCAGCAAACGCACAAGGAATTTTTCCAAGAACCAGGATTCCTGTCCACTCACGGATCATTTTTTTTTTTTAAACCCGGAAATTTAAATGGGATCACGTATCCGAGAAAGAAATATAAAAACATCAGGAGAAAAGGGTGGGGGATATGAGATTTTTAGAAGTGCCTACCCTCGTGGGGTGGCTTGTTTCCACCTTGTGCAGAATTCACGCCGTGCGTGGGGACAGGTACACGTCACGGATGCTCGGTGTCCCTCCAGGATGCTACTGGCTGGCCTTGGACCCGTGTATCACCTGCTCGTGTGCTGCCCCCACAATGGCAGTGTCCTGTCTTGGAGCAAAGCCTCTGCTGTTCCCCTCGTGGGACCCCTGGGACATGTGGGAGGCCCATACACGGTTTTGGACACCAGAAATTGCATGGACTTTTGTGCATCGGAAATCAACCAGGCTTGGATTCAGAAACATGTGCACGACGTGTGGCTCTGGTCACGGCGCAAAGCAGAGCCCTGTCCTCTGTCTACAAAATCTGTTTTCTCCTTCGTGGAAAAAACACCAAAACTGCTTGAAATGCACACATGGGGAGGCTGTGCTGCTGGGTTTCCAATGTCAGTGACCCGGATGCCAGGTCGCTCGCACTTCTGAGTGTTGACCCAACGGCACAGACGTGGCCTCAAGGTGGCCGGCCGGCCATGGGGCAGGGGACCTCACAAGTGGGCACAGCAAAGCAACCGCGGGAGACCTACCTTGAAGAACCACCAGCTGAAGAGCCTCTTGATGAGACGCGTGCCCCAGAAGACGTGTCGGTAGAGGTCGGTGTTGACCACGCCAGGGTCGACCACGTTGGCGGTGACGGGGCTCCCCTGGGCGGCCAGCAGCCTCTGCAGGTGGTAGGTGAACAGGACAAGGGCCAGCTTGCTTTGGGCGTAGGCACCGTGCGGGGAGTAGCTGCGGCTGTGGAAGCAACCAGGGACATGTGTAAGACGCTGGTGCATCCCTCACCTACCCGGGTCCCTACCTGTCTGGGTCACTACCTGCCTCGGTCCCTGCATGCTGAGGGCCCTACTCACAGAGGTCTCTCACCTCCCCGGGTTCTGCACCTGCTGGGTCCCTACCTGTCGAGAACCCTACGGGTCCAGGTTCCTATCTGCCTGGGTTTCTCAGCTGCCCAGGTCTCCACTTGCTGAGGTCCAGACGCGCGACCTGACATGGAGAAACAGAACAGGACGCCCCCCCACACCCTCCAGCGAGTGTAAAGATGGGGCGATTCTCCCTGCGGCCGCTGTTTGCGGGAAGCCGGAAACCACGCCCAAAGCCCGGCTCGGAAAGCCTGGGGCAAACCCCATCTGCCTGCAGGTGACCCTGACTTTTTACTCGTTTTTCTACGGGGCAGCAGGTGGTTACGTTTCATCATCACTATACGGACACACACGCTTGTGTCCACATGGCGATCCTCGGGGCTTCGTCACGGGCTAGGAACGTGATCGTAGCATTTTGTAATAGAATGCATGTTGTTAGAGCTGTTTTAGGTTCACACGGCCATTAAGAGGCAGGGCCAGAGGTTCCCCGTGCACCGCTCCCTGTCCCCACACACGACAGCCTCCCCCATGACCAGCATCCCCACCCCGGGCTGCATCAGAATTTACCTGGGGTCCACATTCTACGGGTTTGGGCAAATGTACAAGGACATGCATACCCTCTGGATTCACGGCCCTAAAAGCCCTCCATGCTCCACCTGTCCAGCCCTGCCTCCCCCGACCCCTGGCCAGCACCCGTCTTTGTTCGCTCTTTATCTATCCACCTGCTGAAGGACAGCTCGGTGGCCTCCAGGTTCCGGCCACCAGCAACCACGCTCTGAGAAACATCCGTGGGCAGGTTTCCGGGTGGCTGTGCCTGCAACCCCTCTGGGTGAAGGTCAAGGAGTGTGATTTGGGGACCACACGGTGAGGGGGTGTTCGCTTCCGTCAACAACAGCCTGGCTGTCCTCCCAAGTGACCCAGCCATTCTGCGTTCCCGTCAGGACGGAGGAGAGGTCCTGTCTCTTCCTGTGCTCGCCCGCTGGTGTCCCAGATTCCAGCCACGCTCACGGACATGCCCAAGGGTCTCCCTGTTCTTTTAACCTGTGAGTTCTCCAGTGACCTAGGATGTGGTGGATCTTCTCGTATGGAGGCTGACGGCGAGATTTTCTGATCGACTGCGTGACAGACGTGAGGGTCCTTGGCTGTGCACATGAGACCGGCACATCGCGGCCCTTGGGGACTCTCGGCATTCCCCAGGAAGCGGCGTTTCCCCCCAGGAACCTGACTTCCCAGCGTGGCCTTCATGCATCATCCTGTCACGAGAGCCCACGTGCAAACCCCAAGATGTGCCCGCAGGGGGGTCTACCCCCTCGATGTTGCAAAAACGGACCCCAGGTTCCTCCATCTTAAGGGACCGGTTGCTAGGTGAACTTCTCAAGGAGCGTTGCCCAGAGGAATTCCCAACATGGCTGTTGTGTTTGGAGGGAGGGATCACGAGAAACATCCAGGGCAGTTCAGAGCCCAAGTTCCCTCCCCAACGCAAGACAAGCCACAACCCTCCAATTATCGTTAAGAGACTTGTTTTTGGCAAATTTCTCCCGTCCGCTCCCCGCAGAGGAGAGGAGAAGGCGGCAGGAAACGAGCAGTGATTAAGTGCAGGGAAATCAATGCCGAGCTTTGTCTTGGCTTCGAGCCATTAAGGCGCCACCGGCACAGACAGCCTCAGACGCCGCCTTCTCAGTGTAGCCGGGTTCGGGCCCTTAAAGAGCGTGAAACACCGATACACCCATTTCTCCAGGGTAAACGATGAGGTCTGCGACGGTGGCTTTATAGCATAGCCCGGAGAAGAAAGAACCAGAGATCGTTAGAAAAACCAAATGGAGGAAAAAAGTCAGTATGTTTCCCTATGGGAGGGACGGAAAAAGTCCAAGAAGGAGGAGTGATTTCAGGACAGGGTTCCCCAGCGGATTTATGGACAAAGAAACATCCACAGCGGAAACAGGAAGGAATCAGAGCAAATTAACAGGAGGACGCGATCGCCCCACTGAGGTTTTCTAAATCAAACCCCCAGGACTGCAAAGGCACTTGGCACGGGAAACAATAAAGAGATTGAACGTTAACACCAAAGAGGGAGCAGAAACACAGACTCAAATAACGGTTCTCACGGCGGGTCGGTAAACGAACTAATTAGGGAAATGGCTGCGTGGGTTGGTTCTACACAGAATGTTTACTTTGTTGCTTTTGTACTACGGATTGTCAGGAAGTAAAACCCAAAGCCATAAACATGGATCCTTATTTTCAAAAAAATAAAACACTTTTTGGTGTAATTCTTTCAAGAATAATTCGAAGGTCGGTATGAAACATGAAACGGAAGTTAGAGACGGTTAGTGTGGCAGCCTTTTGGAGGGGCAGAAAAACGCCTCTCCTATACTTTTGTGTTCTGTACCTGAGGGCTGCAAACTAAACTGAGGACGGCCAGATTCACAGGGGGAAATCATGCCAATTTTACTTTTTCACTTTACACGTATGGAGGGCTTCATAGTAAAGAAGTAAAAACGGCCTCCCCTGGGGGACCCAGAGGGCACAGCTCTACCGTGTGTCCCCATTTACACAGTTTGGTTTACAGTTAGTCTGTGAAAGAGATGATGGAGGCATGTGGCTTAAAAAGGAGACTTTGAAAGGTACAAAAAGACTGTCTCATTTTTAATTAAAAAGATACTGTATCAGCATCAAGTAATTAAAAACATTCTTTGTTCAAAAGAAAAAAAAAGGCACCACTAGACTTGGGTTTATATACAATTTAACAATGCCCAGTAAATGGTGCAGGGGTGAGGAGACAAAGGACAAGGGGTCTCGGCTTCCAGAGGTGGTAAATTGTGCAAAGGTATCTATTTAATGGAAATTAAAGGGTTAGATTAGTAAGATTTGAGTTTCCTGGAAGTTCTGCTTTTACTGAGATCTGGGGAGAGCAGCATACACCTGTCTATACCATATGCACAATCCATTTTCTATGGGTTAGTGAATGACCCCCACACCAGCAGTCAGTCCTCCTTCTCAGCAGAGCTGCCCTACACCGCAACGTCCACATTTTGTAGAACCGTCGTCACCTCCCCGTCCGTCCTAGAACACCCCGGACCTTCTGCATTACTTTAATGGTTCCAGAAGCACTGGGTGTCCTGAAGTCCTCCCCAGTAGACCGGAAAATTTCGCACATAGGACCACGGGATTGATCAGACAGTACCTCGAGCCGTTGAAAAAACACAATATCTTGAGTTTTCTTATTTCCATAAAACACACGTGTCCCTGGATTTCGTATCATTCACGGTGTTTGCCCACGTTTTCAGCTCGACGTCGACCACTTCCTTCTCCCTCTGCCGCTGGAGGTCGTGAGGGCCCCAGCCGACGCTGAGAGTTTAGTACAAGGAATGAGGTCTTCATCCATGATGTTGATGAATGCTGTGCCCCGTGCGTGAGTCACCAGTCCGTGCCCCCCATGCTGGCCTCGCAGACGGCTTCCTTTTACACAGATCCGCAGGGAGCGTTAGCCGTCCTGATGTGTCCGCTGGCCTGCGGTAAATTCACGCGCGGGAGGCAGCACAGCTGTGGCTATGATGCCTGCATCCTATTAATCAGCTGTGTTATTTCCCTTCTGGGTCATTAATGCACAAGCCCATGGCCAGCGATGGGGGAACGTCCGTGGGCCACCGTGAACCCAGGTGCTCGCTGGGTCCGATAACGGGCAGTCTCTCTGTGAGCAAGGATGACGACACCCGTTGGCAGACCAAGGATCCCTCATCTCCACACACGAGCTTTTCCCGGGTGCCACGGACACGTGCTGCGTCGTCCTGATCCCTGGTTTTCCCTGGATCCCTGATCCAGAGGACTCTGGAAACACAGAGCGGCCAGGAGGGGCTCAGGAAGCCTCGTGAGCAAAGAAGGGCTCCATGTCTCCCCGGAAACAGCCCAGGACGTTGCCGACCACGTGCACATTTCGGTCCTGAGCAAATGTCAGGCGTGGTTGTTGGGGGAACCATCATGGGCACATCAGCAGCCCGTCACGCATCCCAGAACACCGCACAAGTCCTCAAAAGCTTCGGGGTTTCACAAACAGTGATATAACAGGCTGGGAATTCGTGCTTACAGAAGCACGGATGGATGAGCTCCCCCCGAAATTAAAACCGTTTGGGAAACTCAAACCAGAACAGCTATTTTCCCCACGATGCACACACATGTCTGCAACATCTCAAGGGGTTTGGCCCCCAACGGAGGTCAGCCTGGAAGAAACGGTTCTGGAGAAGAGCAAGGACCTGTCAGCTTGGGAACAGTGCACGGGGACCCTTATGCATCGAACTGTGCCTCCCACAAGGAAGATGTGTTGGAGTCCTGCCTCCAGGATCACACAATACGACCCTGCATGGGAAGAGGGTTCTTAGAGAGGCAACTGAGTTCACGTGAGGGCTTTAGGATGGGGCTCTCACCCTGTGTGACTGGTGAATTTACAAAAGGGGGAATTTGGGCACCGACGGGCACGCATGGAGGGAAGATCATGTACAGGCGCACAGAGGGAAGATGGTGTCATGAGGATGGATGCAGAGATGGGGGCACGCACGTGGAAAAGTTTGCTGGCCATCCCCAGAACCCCGGAGAGCAGCCCGGAATACATTCTCCCCCAGAGGCTCAGGAAGGAACCAGTCCAGCCCCACCTGGATCTCGGACGTCCAGCCTCCAGAACTGGCAGGCAGTAAACAGCTGTGGTTCGAAGCAACCCCGTCTCCGGTCCTTGGTCACAGCCCCCCAGGACACGCATACAGTGAGCACGAGCTGTTGCATGAAAGTGAAGTTGCTCAGGATGCAGCCCGAAAACACACACTTTCCCAAGGATGTAAATTTGCTCCATCTTTGCGCAAAGAGGGGAAGCATATACAGAAAAAGCAAGCCTTCTGCCTTGAATGGGAGCCACTATGAAGCTTTTTAAGATTTTATTTATTTGAGAGACAGAGCACAAGCACGGGGGCGGCTGCGGGCAAAGGGAGAGGGAGAAACAGGCTCTGTGCTCCACGGGCATCCTGGGATCATGACCTGAGCCAAAGGCAGATACATCATGGACTGACGCACCCAGGAGCCCCAAGAAGGCAATGTTTTGCAGGAAGAGGAACCCATGGGGAGGGAGTCTTTGCCCTCTGGAAGGAGACCACGTGGGGGGCACTGCTGTCTCCATCGGGGTCTTTGTGGACGAGGCCTCATGATGCACGGACACCCACTCATCAGTTTTACCCGGAGAAGCATCTTTGTCAGTGACCCCAGGAGCAGCCATTCCTTGGTCAATGAGGTTCTGCTACCTTTGCACCTGGGAGCACCCTCGTCCGTCCTGAGGACGGGAACTAGGACAGGGCCTGTTGCCTGCTTCGTGGTGGAGGAGGGTAGACAGCATGGTGCCATGTCCCTCCTTGCCCTGGGCATCGTATGGGCTAAGAGGTGAGGCTCGTAAGACAAGTAGAGCAGGAACTATGCTCAGCGGACGTGCCATGGGCATCCCCAAGAGCGGTCGCCCTCAGGGCAAGACCAAAGCTGAGGCAGCTCAGATAAGACTCCACGAGGACCTCTTTGGTCCTGGGCGGCCCATGGCTACAGGAGGCTGAGCACCTAGATAAGCCGGGGAGCAGGGCTGATAGTGGTTAGAGTCCATCACGCGATGGTGCCCAGGGGTTGGTCAGACACCACTGTAGACATTGCTGGGAAGGTATTTTCTTAGACGGGATTAACACGGATATTTGCAGATTTGGGGTGAAGCCCGTCATGCTCCATAATGCGGGTGGGCCTCGTCTAATCAGCTGAAGGCCAGAGGAACGATGGAGGTCTCCTCCAAAAAAGAAGGGAATTTGGCCTCAAGACTGTAGCCTGGAAATTCTCCCTGAATTAACAGTGTTTTGGCTCAAGATGGGAACATTAACTCTTAGCTGCCTCTCTAGCTTGCTGGTCTACCCTGAAGGTTTTGGATTTGTTGGTCCCTCCAATCTGGGAGCCAATTCCTTAAATCAAATCAACCCATCTCTCTCTCTCTCTCTCTCTCATACAGACATATAAAATACCAATAAATATTTATATATGTGTTTTTAAATTAAATGATACTTTTACCTCCCTCCACAAAATCAAAACCATTTTCTGACAAAGCTCTCCATTTCCTCATGAGTCAATTCCACTCATGACAAACAATTTTCAACAGACTCTGCCCACCTTTTTCCCTGGGAAAATATTCAAGCAGAGGAGTTTTCCGGCAGAGCCTACCTGAGCACACAGACCCTCCCGTGCATAGCAGCCCACTTGGATTCTGAAATCACTATGACATAGTGATTCACGCCTTTGGAAGAACATGAATTTTCAGCAAATCGGTCTTGGCAATTACCGCTAATTACCGGTGGTGTTTACATCAGGGGGACCCCGAGGACCAAGTCTTTTCCTTTTCCTTTCATGCAGGAAAGCAGAGTGTTTTAAGCCCAAGTGGTTCTCAAATTTTAACGTCCATCAGAATCTCCTGGAGGGTTTGTTAAGAGTCTGGCTGCCTGGCTCCCCACCCCCAGAGTTTGGGCTGAGAAGGTCTGTGGGGTGGTCTCGGGGTCTTTATTTCTAGTAAGTTTTCAGGGCATGTGGATGCTGCTGGCCTGGGGACCACACTCCAAAAACCTGCATCCTGAGTGGTCTCAGTCTCTTTTATTCTTTTTTTTTTTTTCCTAAGATTTATTTATTTTAGAGAGAGTGAGAGAGCAGGGGGGAGGGGTAGAGACAGAGGGACAAGCAGACCCCCACTGAGTGCAGAACCCAATGCAGGGCTTGATCCCACGACCCCGAAATCCTGACCTGAGCCGAAACCAGGAGTCGGATGCGTAACTGATGGAGCCAGCCAGATGCCCCTCGTTGTCTTTTAACAAACATTTATCAAAGAAAGTGACGGAGCTCAGTGCCTGTTCTTTGATTTTTTGCACACAAAGCTGTAAGGACCTTCACACCTATGCTCACGCCCACACGCATGCACTCATTCATGCACAAAGCACAGAGGAGGGCACAGCCACACTCACATGCCTGCACACATGTGTCCATGTGCTCACACACACACATACTTGCACGCTGGTGCACACATAGACCATCCCTGAGCTCGCTTAGGGCACCACAGAGGAGCAGCCCCTCGGGGGGGGGGCAGCTGTCCCCCAACCACATGGCTTCACTTCACCTGCTTCCTCTGTGCACAGGCTGGTCCTGCTAGGCTGCCCAAGGACCCAAGTACCTGGCCAGCCCCCTGCCCAAGGCCCTATTCAGGGAGCCACCTGTCCCCAGGAGCCACAGATACATTCCTTGCCTCCTGCCCCCAGGGGGAAATCCCAGTGAGGGCGCACCCTGATCCCACAGCCACAAGCACGGAACCCACTCACCCACCCAGGACCAAGTTTGGCCACCAGATGGGTGGGAACTCCCTGGGAAGACCCCAGCCCTGCGCTCCGGGCAGCTGGCCCCTCGCTGTGCCAGAATGTGACACCAGGAAGCACCCCAGGGTGCGCAGCACGGCCACCCTCCTTCCACGTGTTTGCAGGCCCAGAGGCTGAGGGCGCCCACCCCAGTGCACGTGCCGGAGCCACTCCTCGAAAGCAAGCTCCGCTCAACCATGCATCCAGGTCCTTCCAACAGGGTGTCTACACCGTGCACAGTGAGGGCAGCAGTCGTGCAAACATAAATACACACCCCACTCACACGCGGGGCCTCTTTTATCCCGAAGGAGGAGAGAGCGGGAAACACAGATCAGAACGTGGTGCCTCCCACGTCACCAGGAGTCACCTGGACGCACCACACGGGGTTAGTGGGTTCTATTTACAGTTGCAAACAAAGGAGAATGTGTCATTACTTCTGGTACCCACCGCATGCCCAACTTCTGTGTTTCCGCTTTCTACCAAAGAAAATAAATTAAAAAAAAAAAATAACATCCCACAGCTGAGCTACCCGAGCATAAGATGCATATGATTTGATGATGATGGATGTTAAATGTACTTAGTGTGATTATTTCAGGATACACACAACTAGTGAATCATTACCGTGTACACCTGACACTTCCGTAGCAACTATAACATTATGGTACAACATGTAAAATATCACATTATGTAACAATTATAACACTGCAACGTATGCAATGTTACACTGTGTAACAACTGTAACATTATGGCATTCTAACATATTTAATGTCACATTACACAGCAATTGTAACATGGCAACATATACAACGTTATAATGTGTAACAATTATAACAACGAAATGCTGTAAGATGTATAGTGTTACATAGCAATTATAACATAATGTTATAACCTGTTATATAATAGTTACAATTACATTATATAACAAATAATAATTACACTGTAATGTTATATATGTTACATAACATTATAGTTATACTATAACATATGTATATTATATAACAATAATTACATTGTTATAACTTACATTATGTAACAATAATTACAACACTATAATGTTATACATACATGTTATGTAACAATTATAGTTCCATAACATAACATATGTTATATTATGCAGCAATTATAATCGACTTCATAATGTTATCACATATATAATGTTACATAACAACTATACTATTGAGATACAAACTTGATTATGGCGCTATAGCAATTATACCTCAATAGAAAAATGCCAAAAACAAAACGTGTTTGGAGACGCAGTCATGAAGAACCCTACAACATGCTGGCATGGGGTTTTTCAATGATTCTGATAACAGACCTGAGTCTGCTTTGGTGGTTGGTGGTTTTGTACTGTTGACGGGTACCCCTGAGCCCCTGGATGGCTGCCCGCGAGCACCCACCTGCCCTGAAGGTCCTCCATGTCCAGCTCCGCGATGTAATGCGTGGCCGACGAGACGGTCAGCACCCTCGCGCAGCAGCCTGGAGATCCGGACTCCTTCATGGTGTCCAGGAGGAGGTTGGTGAGCAGGAAGTGGCCCAGGTAGTTCAGCCCAAAGTGCTCCTCAAATCCATCCCTGGTTTTTCGCTGAGGGACCATCATCACCCCGGCTGGAATAAAGGGGATTGCAGGGAGAGTTAGGACATGAGATGGGGGAGCCGTTCCACAGCTGTCCCACAGATGGGGCCGGGCGCCAGCCAGGAGGATGGGCTCTGGTCCTCACTGCCATGTCGCCATCCTGGACCTGAGCTTCCTGCTGCTCCGTATGCCCTGGGGGAGGAGCCAAGACGTCAAGACGCACCTACAATGCTGCTAAGACACCAGCATCTGGCAGAACGTGACAATGTCCTGAATCACCAAAAAGTGCCTTCCTGTGGGCCCGGGAGGTTAATTCTTTTGGACAGAACAGCTGTCTGCATAGACAAAGGCTCCCTTGTAGCAGGAGCATCCTGGACACGTTGGGACGCTGATGTCCTGCATCTGCAGGGTGCGGTGGATGAGGCCCAGGGCCGAGTTCCCCAAACTCATGTTGTCATGTCCCCTCATTCACAGGGCATCCCAGAAATGGGGGTCACTCTTCAGGGTGCTTTGCCCAAAATGCTGACCCAGATATGCACCCTGGCTGTCCCTGCCCCAGACCCCACTCCAGCCCTGCTATTCCACAAACACATGGAAACAAATCCACCAACACATCCACAGGCCCTGTGCTTGCTTCCGCTACTCTCCCCCAAGCTCAGAACAACTCAGCTAATGCCCCCCTCCACGTCCTTTCCATGGATGCTGGCTCCCGGATGTAAACAGGAAACATGCCTGGCCCATATCGGTCCCTGTCCTGCAGCAGCCCAGCATGACTCCCTGGGCATCTGTTGGAAGTCCACGGACGTCCTTGTTTGCCTACGTACCCGTGTTGTGTACGGGTGTAGGTGTGCATTTGCACACCTGTCATAGATACATTTGCATACGTTGAAGTGCTCCTGTGCATTTGCACACATGTGCCCACGTAACCACCAACACATACAAACATATGTGTTATATGTTTTCAGGCATATTTGCATGCCTGTACTAGATGTATTTATGCAAAAATATCCGTGCGTGTGTTGGCAGGTGAAAATGGGCTTCTATTTATAAGTGTGTGAGCAAAGGTATTTTTAACATATAATGTATTATTTGCCCCAGGGGTACAGGTCTGTGAATCGTCAGGCTTACACACTTCACAGCACTCACCATAGCACATACCCTCCCCAACGTTCATAACCCAACAACCCTCTCCCTAGCACCCCCAGCAACCCTCAGTTTGTTTCCTGAGATTAAGAGTCTCTTATGGTTTGTCTCCCTCCCGATCCCATCTTGTTTCATTTTTTTCCTTCCCTAACCCCCATGACCCCCCCACCCCACCTCTCAAATTCCTCATATCAGGGAGATCGTATGATAATTGTCTTTCTCTGGTTCATTTATTTCGCTCAGCTGTCTACAGCCATACCACCCTGAATGCACCCGATCTCCTCTGATTTATTTCGCTAAGCATAATACCCTCTAGTTCCATCTACGTTGTTGCAAATGGCAAGATTTCATTTCTTTTGATGGCTGCATAGTATTCCATTGTGTATATATACCACATCTTCTTTATCCATTCGTCCGTTGATGGACATCTAGGTTCCTTCCATAGTTTGGCTATTGTGGACATCGCTGCTACAAACATTTGAGTGCACGTGCCCCTTCAGATCGCTACATTTGTATCTTTAGGATAAACACCCAGCAGTGCAATGAGCAAAGGTATTTGAATGTGCCTCAGTGTTCCCACCTTATGTGCTCACGTATGTATTTATGGGTAATGCACACATACCAAAGGCCATTTGTGCAGGACTTCTGCAAGTTTCTGGGTCCGTGTGTATTTTGAATTTGCAAATGAATCTGTATTTGTGTACAATGTACATGCACACAGGCATGTCTACTTATTTGTGTGTATTTGTACATGCTTGGATTTGAGGTGTATGCCTCTCTCTGGGTAGATGTATTTGCATCTCTGTATCTGTTTGTATTGATGTGTCTTTTACGGGGACATACAGGTATATATTTGCAAATGTACATGTGCGTGCGTAGGCATTTCTATGTGTAATTCTTTGTGCTTTTCGCTACATGTAGAAAGTTTTTCAGTTGGATTGCAGGATCTCTCCCTGCACATATAGGCCACAATGCATGCCCCATCACACCCATGCCCACGCAGGATGCATTTTGTGCATTCATGGCCCCACACATCCTGCCCCCATGCAAGCTTGTCACTTGTGGGGTGCTCAAGGCAAAGGAAATGTCCTGTCCAGGCTGTGGGGTTCCCAGCACTGTATAGTGTTTTGGGTGCAGGAAGGTGGTAAGTCACATTAAAGAGGTAGAAATGAATGGATAAAGAAGATGTGGTCCATATATACAATAGAATATTACGCAGCCATCAGAAAGGATGAACACCCAACTTTTGCATCAACATGGATGGGACTGGAGGAGATTATGCTGAGTGAAATAAGTCAAGCAGAGAAAGTCAATTATGATATGGTTTCACTTACTTGTGGAGCATAAGGAATAACACAGAGGACGTGGGGAGATGGAGAAAAGTGAGTTGAGGGAAATCAGAGGGGGAGATGAACCATGACAGACTGTGGACTCTGAGAAATAAAGTGAGGGTTTTGGAGGAGAGAGGGGTGAGAGGTTGGGTGAGCCTAGTGGTGGGTATTAAGGAGGACACGTATTGCATGGAGCACTGGGTGTGGTGCATAAACAGTGAATCTTGGAACGTTGAAAAAATAAAATAAAATGAAAAAAAAAAAAGAGGTAGAAATGAGAGCCCATGACTGTGGTGCATAAACAATGAGTCTTGGATCATGAAAAAATAAAATAAAATGAAAAAAAAAAAAAAAGAGCCCATGACCTCTATCACACACACACCTGCTATGCTAAGTGATTTTTTTTTCAACGTCCCTGAATGCCCAGCCCTCTGAAAACACGTCCAACAGATTGAAAATAGATCCCCTGAGCTTACTACTTACTATAAAACATCCCTTGTGTAGACCTACAGGGAGAAGACCAACATACATCAGGAAACAAAGCCACGTGGGTCTCACACATCCAATAAAAGGTGTATTTAAGAATATCCACAGTCACTCAACTCAGCTAAAAAACATTCCCAAAGGGCACCTGGCATCCATGGGTTTAAGCAGATGTGAAGTCTGGCATTTCGAGGACAGGGAAACATTTCCCTGGTGATGCCATTTTCTTGACTATTTCATTCATCATGAGGAAGCCAGAAAAGAAGAGCTAGAGGATGATAAGATTCCTAGTTGGAGGAACATGGGTCCTCATGACCACTTGGCTTCTACGAGGCTGGCTGAGAGGGAACCTGAGCTCGACGCACCTGTAAACCAGTCTCCACGTGTTTTTGATACTTGCTTCCTTGGGAGAGGGACTCTGTGTTCCATCCCTTGGATCTTGACCAACTCATTAGCTTTCTGTAATGAGTACAATGTAGCAGTCGTGACAAGGCTGGGTGAGGAAAGACGGAGCGGCTCCCACCTCACTGCTGGGAATGCTGGGGAGAACCAGCTTCACTTAAGAAGACTGGCTGGTGCCCGTGAGACCACCATATTGGAGAGGACTCATGGAGGTCATCTGGCCAGCCATGCAGCTGAGCCTCAGTGCTGGGCGGCAGCCACTTTCCAGCAATAAAGCAAGCCATCTGGACATCCAGCCCCACATGAGCCATCAGGTGAACAGAAGCCCGAGCTCCAACTGCACAGGACACCCAGAGCTAGACCCGCCCAAATTCCTGTGTGTCCCCAAACTGCAAGCAATAGAAATGTTGATCTTTGAGCCACCAGGACTGGAGGTGGTCTGGAACACAGCAGTAGCCACTGGAATATCACGGCATGCATAAATGATCGATTCTTGGAATATCACTGCACATGTAAATAGAATACCAGTGCATGCTTAAATTATTAATTCCTTAGATACCAGTGCATCCCCATTTTTATCAACTCTTGGAATATTGGTGCATGCCTAAATGATCCATTCTTGGAACATCATGGCATGCATAAATCATTAGTTCCTGGAATAGTAGTACATCCCCATTACCCATTCCTGGAATATCGCTGTGTGCCTAAATGATCAATTCTTGGAATATCTCTGCGTGCATAAATTATCAATTTCCACATTAGAGAGCCCCATCTCATGGGACAAATGACTATCACTAAACTCAGCCTTCTAAGTATCCAGATTCATTGGAAAAGACCCCACATAATGGATTAGGGGATGTGGGGCTCCACAGGGATTATTCTGAATTTTGGGGTGTTACTCTGCAGCGAGTTCCTACTTCTGAGTTCCTAGTTCCTCACAGTAACTGTTGTGAGTTACTCCCTTCCTTGCGATGGCCTCTGGGTGCCTGGAAGTTGGTAGCAGAGAAAATGGCTAGGGGACCCCGGTCAGCCAATCCTCGGGGCAGGCGCACAGACCTTGGGGCTGAAGTGTTGGACTCATTAGTTTTTTCCAGGGTGCACATGGTCCAGTAGGTGGGAACAGGAGCTGAAGGACAACCCCAGCACATCTCCCGAAGGCTTACAATATCCAGCTCATTGCATTTCTATTATGGATTCTCTACAACAACGTACATGACAAGCTAACATGGGGCAACGGTTGAGCTGGGGGGAAATGCCAGCATGGATCTTCGTTGGATGCAAGTTCTGGTGACAGATCATGGCACAAATTCACTGACCCGGCCTCTAAGAATGTGACAATAATGACGCTCTGGGCCAAGACCGAGTTCAAGGTTACTCCAGCAATCGTAAACAATCTTTGGATCACATTCTTGGCGTTAACAGCATCGCTGGAGAAAGTGTGCTTTTAAAGAGCAGCGAGAACATCACTGTCACGCATACGGTCGGTCACCTCTGGGAAATGTCCAATCCGTTCTGGGGCTCATGGAAGCAAAGCGGGGAGTCTCGGCACCATGGAGCCTGTACCCAGAGCCATCCTAATTCTAATCTAATCCATGATTATGTTGCACATCGAGAAATCTCCTAGTCCATCTCTATTCTAAAGCAAAATGTCCCAGACACCTGCCTGTGCAGAC